TACACTTTCTTTGAATCATACGATTAGTAGTATTGTTATACAGATTAAATATATTTATATAAAAGTATAAATGGACTCAATAATGATGGCGTAGGTAAAAGTTTTCGACTATTAGTCTGCAGTTAATACTGTCATTTCGATATAAAAGTCTCTGTTAATGAAATTAGAAATCTAATTAAAAATTGAAAAAAGCGTTTCAGTAGCTAAAAAACTCATTTTGATAGAGGCTACCAATTAAGAGAAATGAGATTGTCAGTGGATTTAAAAAATGATTTTATTTCATTGTTAGAAAAAATTAATTTAATAAATAATATTGCTTGCAGTTTCTTCGTCATTGCTTCATTTCTTGAAGAAAAATATGATTTCTCGATACTCTTACACAACTTCAAAAATACGATTGACAAACGGAATAGAATACTTCAATGACTCAATTATTCTCTCCTGCTCCATAGGTTTTATTCGTCGCAATACTTCATTGCAGCTGGCGCTCTTACACATATACAGCGGGTACTTTAAGAGGCGACCAGGAAAGGAAGTTAAGATTTATTTATGCTCGAACCCAACGAGGTCTATTGATTGCGTTGCTCACTGAAGCCAAATAAAGAGCGAGAGAAGGCGAAGTGGCAATTCGCCAATTAATCAGAATGCCTCTTCGGGGGTGGAGCAGCAACCGGCGTCCACAAGATGTTTGACTGACTCCACTCGTGCGGTGCACTACGTGAACGCTTCCCAAACAAGCAATAACCGGCCATGAATACTAACATGATTAGGCCTTTTAGCATTTCTTAGTTTTTACATGGACGACGAGAAGCTGGCCCACCGTCCCAACCCCCTACTAGGAGGATCAGTATTTCTTTAGGGTTTACTTCCCTACGAGGATGGCTTCACCGAGCTTTTGAGCTCCTCCTGCCCATATCTCTTTTGAAATCCTCTTGTTCCGTTGACGATATCATATCTGTACCCTTCATTCCTCGGTAGAAATGTAGTCTAGGATTTCTGTCTAACTCTTCGTTTCGAGAACCTCGTCAGCGCACTGTACCGGATGTTTCCCAGAAGATCCTCAGAATGGCAACCAATTGAAAGGAGAAAACGAGGCAGACCAAGACCAGGATGGAACGACCAGATCAGAAAGATAATCGAGAGGTGGAAATTATCTCCTGATTCTTGGAAGAACAGGAAAGACTGGAGAAGAAGGTTAGGCGCCGGAAGATCGAAGTAGCGGTAAATAAAACGGCAAGAAAAATAAGAATACTAACATATTTTTCATTATCACTATTACATTTTTAAAGGTACTGTTTCCCAAAAAGGTGCTGACAGGAAAAGTAACAAATTATTTTAGAGAGATTTTGGAAAAAAAATATAGTACATCTATAACAGATTTTCTTGAAGAGCTTAATTTCTGACTGTTGTTTCCTTTTGCTTTAAGCACATACGTTTCATTAAATTTTCTGTTTTCCTAATATACAGATAGGAATATGAAGGGGGAATAGGGAAGTGAAATGGTTGTGCTGGCCATATTACTCTCAAATGAATTAATAGAAGAGAACACCCCGAGATTGTAGGCACTAAAGAGGATCTCAATGTGGCTTAATGAGGTATCTACCAAAGCAAAACAACATAATACGTAATTGGTTACTTTGAAATCATGGTATTTGAGTTTTTTTTATAAAATTGCAGGGAAATCGTAAGTTCTAGGTTGAATTTTTGCTGAAGAGATGGTTAGTTAATAAAAAAAGTTTGAATCAGAACACTTATTGAAGCATTTACTGCAGAATGCATGTGAATGAAGTTTCCTACACATTCGTAACAGCAACTAAAACTAATAGCTATGTTCTCTGACAAATTTTGCCGAATAATATTTTCAAGCGGATAGTCACTCTATCAGTAATGTTCATTCCATGGCCACCAAGCACGCATACTGCATCACCTGTTACAACTTATAATCTACAACCGCACATTTTTCATTATACTTTTACGTTTTTCCGACAAAAGCTTCCAAAAGATCGCGCAACTTTTTGTAATTTATCGCTCCCCCATAGAATTTGTTACTCCTAATATATTTGAATATTACTTAAGAAAGTTACAGCGTAGTACGCAGATACACACATCACACAGCTATGGTCCGAATAATTATGAACCATACCGGACACGTCTTAAATTAAGTTTGCTCAGAACAGATGTATCAAAAGGCAATGCTGAGCAGAAAATTACACGTCTGATCAAAGTTGAAAGATAATTGAATTGTTCGTTTTGTTCATGGAGGATCAAAGAAAATTACAGAAACTACCACGTACTGATAGATACGAGTAAAAAAATGAATCGTGATTGAAGAGCTGCGTGTGAGAGGAAACAAAACACAAACGCAATTATCAAAAGGGTGGCGTCATCCACTACAAACAACCGTGATTATTTCTAGACCCCTAAATATGCCTCCGGGTATGTAATGATCAACTGGCTGCATGCGGGTGGGCTTACACATGAAACAAAAGCGAGTACAGTAGCCATCTAATTAAAGAAACTGTAAATTAGCTCCAAATTAATGACGTGTAACTTCTAGAGAAAAACATTGCAGTATATCAAATTTGATATATTAAGGTTTGTTTACAATTCATATTATAAAGTGTGTTGAAACATTTTTATTTAACTGCCAGACGTTTTGATATCTTTAGGTTAAATTCAAATGGATTAAACTTTTCTTTCATTACTTTATTTCGAATCATAAAAGGTTATAGGGTAATGAAGGAAACTCGACTCAAATACGACTTAACCACATTGAACGCAGATCACATTAGCTCATGAGCTGAAGTGTAATCTTAGGGCATTTGAATCCAAACTGTATTTTGTTCTATAGTTAGCGATCACACTCGGATATTAAGTTTTCATTAATAGAAACCTTCTTCAGGGTAATATTTCATGATAAACAATGCAAGTGTACAGTAATTCTTAAATTTAAGACTTTAAATAAAAAAAGATATTAGTGCCATTTTCATACTTTCGAGAAAAACGAGTTTATTTATGTTAAACGTATTGGCACATTGAACTCCTGCCATTTATAATCACTCCGTAGCACTACCAAGGAATACGTCTGGACTTCGGTTCTTATTTATAGTGCTTGATTGATCCATCATTATTCTGATAAAATGTAAATTTAATATAAATGACACTATCATCCTTTTTTATTTCAAGTCTTCAATTAATATTAATGCTAACATTTTACTCTTTATTTTCCTTTTTCTCAACTTGTAACTAAAAATAATCGTGACCACCAGTTAAATACGAAATATTTAAGCGAAAAAAATAAGATCGGCTTAGACGTACAACTGACGCTCTGTGGCCAAGGTTTTATAGATATTTTGAGAAATTATGTCCTACAATAAGGTAAAAATAGAGGTCGCAAGTGCGACACGCAAATGTTATGAGAGCCAAAAAGACGACAAAAGCTAAGCACTCGCTAGTCTGCCACGTAAGCCTAATTATAGGTAAAAAAAGCGTATTACTCAACTCGCACGAATGCTTTAGAGAAATACACCCGTTAGTGGCCCCAAATTACTTTTACCACGTGATTCTTGGCGGTGGCAACATTGATGCTTCCGAACCACGCAAGTCCACGCACTGAGAGAAGTAGCAGTGGAGATTATTTACTTTAATTTATTTAATATTTTATGTTACGTTTCCCAATATCAAGATATTTCGTACAGAGATTTGTTCTTCGAACGTAAATCAAATTTTAACGACAATATAAATTTTCAGTAAATTTCCCTTAAGGAAGGAGTACATTTCTTTATTGTTAATGGAATTAACTTTAGACGAAATTAGACATTAATTTAATAGAAACAAATGATTCTCGCATTAGCTTATAAGACCTGATCGAATAAAGCTGATATTTCTGTTTAAATCTTCCAAACAACATCACTAAGTGGAAAGCGACGTTGTAAATATGGCATAATACTTAATACATTTATCATTTTCGCAGTATGTTTCAATTTTTTTTCAACGAAAAACAGAAATATTACAACTTTCCAAAATTACTGAAGCAAATGCAGTATAGTAGTACCGGGCATGCAAAGATATACCAAAATTCTTTAATCTCCGTAACGTATTCTACCAACATCACAAATTTTACCTATTATTTTACGAATTACGAGCAGTTTTCTTCACAGGTGTGAGAGAATCTACTTTCTACGCAATTTGTAACACTTCAATGTACATACTGATGGAACATAATGATGGAACAAATATTAAGAACATAATTACATTTTTTAATCTCCATTTTCCAACGAACTGTTAATCAATAAACAATTTTGTATCCACTACAATAAACTGCTTTCACTTCTACCATCTATCTTATTTCCCACTGATTTATTTAAACCCTTCTTCAATCGTCATTGTCAAAACAGAAACCTCTCCCAGCAAGAGACCAGCCCCGCTCGTTCGAGAAGATTCACGGCTTCCTCTTGTCAGTGGCAGCCGCCCCCGCGAACCGCTGCCTCTGAGGAGGTAACGGGGCGCCGTGCAGACCGGGCTCGAAGCCAACACCGTCGAGCGACGGCCTTGCCCCGGCGGCTACCGCTCAGCTGGACGCGAGAACCGGCCCCCGCCCAGGCGCCGCCGCCGTCGCTCCCACGGCGCACGCGGCCTCGCCGTGCTCTCTTTGCCGGCAGCGCGAGGGGAAGACGAAGAAGAATGCGTAGGAGACGGCTGCAGCCGTCGCCGTCCCATCACAACTCTCGTTTACTATCCTCCCTCCACCCTCTATATGCAATACACTACGTAAAGATTACTGTTTTTCAAAAGGTTTAAAAAAACATAGATTCAAAACCCAAAAACTGTTCTCTCTTTACTCACTTTGTATACAATGCACTAAGAACTGCTTTGTATACAATGCAATATGACTGCTTTTGAAAATGTATAAAATATAGAAATATAGAAAGTATATACAATATATACAAAGTACATAAAAATCTCTCTCCCTTCTTTAAATACAATTCACTAAAGAAAGATTACTGTTTCTGAAAAATGTATACAAGTTCCATAAATTCACTCCGAAAGTGTTACTGCTGGGTAGGGAAATATCTCCTGACTCTTCCTCAACGAGATTGCAGATTATGACAGTTTTGGGAAATCAGGGACATATGCGGCCCCAACACACATTATCATTGTGCATAACTCTGAAACGGTGCGTCCTAGGGCACGGAAATCAGGCTTCCGTGATCCTAAAGGACGTTGAGAGCAGTTCTGAGGGGAACTGGTTGGGTTATGATGGAGATGGGTGTGGTCCAAGTTATGTTTCTTCAGCATTAATCTACTAAATGTGCCCTTTTGAACATTCTATTATGTCTTTGGAGATGTAGCTCTTCTGTAAACCGATACTACAATGCATGCTTACGAACAGTAAATTGAAATCTACGAGAAATTACTTTCAAGGAATGAATACAATTAATATTCCACGATATAAATAAAATGACTTATTTTGATTCAATTTTTCTGCGATATTTAATCTCAAGGCTTAGCAATAACAGAATGTGTATACACGCATAATACCAGATGTATAATGCTGTAATTAGCAATTTAAAACCTTTTCGTTCGAAGTTACGATAAAATGTGAAGTTATTTTTATTTTGAAAATAATGGTTTACGCAAAATGCGGAATGTTCACACGATGCTTCTAAATATTAATATGATTTTTAAAACTTTTTATTATTATCTAATGTATCTCCTTACAAATTAATTTTACGTGGGAGTAAATTGTTATTTACGTGCTTTGATTAGAATGAATTATTGTGATACGTTAATATTTTAGGAAAGTTCCATCCATGTGTTCCCTTCCTCGCAGCCAAGCACGCCTTTTTCTGCTCTCACGTTTTCCGTTTCATGATTTGTTTATTTCGTGAATTAATTTAATTAGAACCATAATTAATACATCATTTTTGTATGAAGTCATTTATGATTTATTCTGAATTATTTTATACAAATATATTTTTCAATGAATTCAATATAATTTCGCCTGGTGTCCTGTTATATGTCAGAACTGCAGCTAGTTATGCGACTGAAGTTGCAGCTGCCTGTTTTACTTCCCCGCTGAAAATATTTCTTCAGTAATAAGCGCAATTTCAAGTCAGGGATTAATGAAATAAATTAAGGAAACGGAACGGAAATGTCTGTCTGATAATGAAACACTGGGGTGCTACGTTAACCACACTAACAAATACTTTACTTTTTCTAGGTTAAAATGTAGCAAATATTTTACTCGAGTGTCATATTAACAGATTCTTTAGGTTATATTTATTATATGCATTGAAAATGTCTGCACAATAAAGTCACTATTTGTTATATAGTGGAGACTAATTATAACTAATTATAATTAGTACATAATTCTGTTAGAATTACTAGTTTATTATAATATCGTATACATTGTTTCGCCTTACCATGTAAGAAAAAAATATATTTACGACAAAAATACAGTAAATTGTGTTAAACACACCCAGAGATCCGGTAGAAGGCTACGAAAGTTCAAAGTCACAAAGAAATTGGCGGATGGTTACCAGTTCAGCAACAATCCCACACACTCTCCTTGATCCGGTTTTCGTTGACCAGTTGAGCTCACCAGCGACGACAACGAAGAGGATCCGAAAAGGAGAAGACGTTTCTTGTTACATCACAAAATCTCGTCCCCCATATTGTTCGCATGTCTTTCCTCTCCCAGTTTGGAACGAAATGAAGTGGTATCCATAAAATCAGACCATCGTGTGAGCTCTCCAGCATCCAACATTACTCCCAGAGAGGTCGGTGCTCTCATAAATGTCAACCAACACTGGCCATATATTTCAGGCCTTCGAAAGCAAAAGGGTCACTTAAGAATGTCTTGAGACGGTACAGGAATTTTTATGGGTGTTCGTTCAGCTACAGTGTGGGTTGATCTTCCTCGTGAAACAGGGCAGCGCAAGATACACCTTCAAATCGCCTACGAGTGTCATCTAGTAATTTAAAATTCAAATTCAAACCGGCCTCTTCACGGAGTCTTTCTTACGCCGCGTGCAATTTATCTAGGGAGTCACTTCATTGCTTCCTACATCTTTACGTTCTTCCTGTTCGCACGGGATGATGAGACTTTGAATCGAAAATCGCTCTCCTGCCTATTCGGGCGAGGGTGTGTCGGCGGTGAGGCGTCGCCGCAAAAGCAACTGATTCAGGGGACGCCCGACCAACGGAACGCACCAAGTGCCAGGCGAGTTAAGGCTCTCACTTTCGACCTCATGAAGATCCACGAGACTGGACCGGGCAGTTTTTCCAGCACTCGTTTAAAGGTCACTAACACGGCCCACGTTCGAGAGGTCAGGAACCGGGACCCGCTTCATCAGACCCTAGATTAGGAAGACCCCACACAACACACGGTCGAGTGTGACTTCACAGCTGTCTTCTGCTAATGCGGATGGAATATAGTACCGCCTGGTCCAGGTCCCGTTTACATTAGCTGACACTGATATTATGCATTCGGATAAGCGACTTTCTTTTTGTCAGGTTATTCAACGATGTTGCGAGCGAGTCCTAACAATATATTTAGGATATTGCGAAGAAAAAAAATTCTTATAATACAAAAGAAACTTGAAAAACCATTTGCAGGCTACATCAACAATAAATTATTCTAAATAAATCAATATCTTCCCTAAATGAAATGTCTGTCTATAATTTCCTAGTTGAAGGCCAGCAAACAACTTTCCAAAAAATCAAAAAGTCAGATCTCTAAGAGTTACAATATCATGGGTAATTTCGTGATTCACTTTGTTGGTGCGTCACATAGAGAAGGAAAACCCGAAAGAACTCTCAAACGTCAGTGTTGTGGTCATTGATCGAAAGAGAAGATTCTGTCCTAATGTACTTAATAAAGTCTCATTACGTCCAGTAATTTTGTTTTCCATGCCTTTTCCATAAAGATACAAAATTTCATAATTTATTCTCTCTTTCAAATTTGATATAGACTTTGCCCAAATACCTCAGTTTCCTTCGGCACTCTAAAATAATTTAAACATTCTCTTTGAGAACGTTGAGGAGAGAGAGAGTTGAGAAAAATAAAACTTGAACATTGTATAAAAAGAGCTTAGAATAAAAAATATTTTCTTTTTTTATTCTGCATTACCCACATTAACCAATGCACTGTACATCAAAGAATATTTATAATGTCTAAGAAATACGTTTTTTTTAAATTTTGAAAACTTAGAATTAAATAAAGTGCATGTCAACACTGTTCAAACAATTAAACAATTGTATCAATTACTAAAATTGTGGTCCACTTTTATTTGAAATAATTACACAAGACAAAAATTAAGGTTAAAATGAAATTTCTGAGAACTACTGTAATTGTTCTCAACGTAAGAAGCAAAGACATGAGGGGGAATAAATATTAGCAATACTGATGAAAAGTAGTGAGATGTGATAAAATGGAAGAACCACAGCAATTAAATGTAAGAACAACAGTTACCAAATATGATACCAAAGTATCAGTATCAAGTAGAATAGCGAGATTGGGAAGTTTTAAAAGAATATGAGCGAATTTCGATGTAACTCGAAAAGGCGAAGACAATCCATGAAGTGGAAACATGAAAGGGAAAAGTAGAAGGCTAAAACCAAACAATTATTTACTTTTAAAACCATTGTTTTGTTCATAGGTGAACAAATATAAAGAAGCAATATGGCCGCACCGCAAGTGTGAGATTACTGGAGACTTCAATGCTGGTGCAGCCAGGAACATCGCCGTGCAAGGAAGTGGCGTGCTCGACTCCCTCGCGGCTGGTGGGAAATCGTTTCCTGAGAGCGTGCACAGCGGCCATCAGCGCAGTATAATAACGGCCAACAGGGCAACACCCGTGAGACAGATATACGTGCTCCAACAACTCCTTCCACGTTCAAAGCAAGACAGTGTAAGGAAAATAATCCAATAGTCAATTCAATAATGAATGGTAACATCTATTACCGGATATAGTCGTTTGTAAACACATTCTAAATATTCAAGGAGGACTTTTAATTTTGGGCGCTTAATTATTGATTGAGCATTAATTAAATCCTTTGAGTATTTTTGGAAATGTGTCATTTTTATGTCGGGTTGTGCTACTACTTGATAAAATATTCTCTAATTCATCATTTTTCGATTAAAGCAAATTATGAATTATATATGTGTATATATATATATATGTGTATATATATGTATATATATATACACATATATATATATATATATATATATATATATATATATATATATATATATATATATATATATATATATAATGTGTGTGTGTCTCAAAGTAAGAAACTTGTAATTTTATATCTGAATTAAAGTATTTTATCATTCCCTGACCAACACTACGATCCACTACAGTTACGTCATATGAGCGTTAGTTTATACCCGTTCGCTGCACGCTCTGTCCGAACTGCTCTGTCTTCTTGCGAGCCAATAGCTCCTTCCTCGTCTGAAAAGCGCTCGCGAAGTGCTGGTCGGCGGAGGGACTGCCTCTGGGCGACAGAGTGGATGAGTCAAGCGAAACACGATCACCCTAATTACACACGCAGATTAGAAGGCTGTTCTAACGGAGGAACTTCCCAATGGGAAGAGGGGCCTAAAGGACGTTAAAGGAGGTGCTCGCTCCTTCTAATAACATGGTTAACTGTCAATTACTGCCTGAATCCCTCTACAATCATACAGAGGAACAACGTTGCGAAAAAGAAAATGGACCATTGTCAGACTTCCGATCGTCAACATGATGCGTGAATAAATGAATAAATTTGGGAGCAATTGTAAAAAAAATCCCCATTTTTAGGGTTATTTTTATTTTAAATGTTGAGTTAAATAGTATTTTGTTTAAGGTTTAAAAAACACCTGCAAGTTGCAGTTAAGTAAAAAAACGGTAAGTTAAACTAATGTTTCCAATTAGACGAATGTTAGTGTACTCTACATTTATCAGATGTTGGTGTAAAACTAACGGAAAACGTCTTATGAATGTGACAAAGAGTGTGTCAGAAAGTACAGGACGCTGTTATAAATAACAACAAACACAAAACAATTAATACCAAATAATAAATGTGAATAGATTTTCATGATTTTTTGTACTATTCATTTCCATTTGATACGAGAGATGAGAATGGCAATTCTAACGTAATGGGAATTAATCAAGATCAAATTGATTTTGAGGGAAAAGAAATTATGACACTTCGGCGAGTCTTGAATTTCAATGTTAAATTTGGTAGAAAATGACTATTGTATTAATCACAAACACATTAGCTTTGTTTCTGACTACGTGTGATGTGATTTACCATTAACCGAATAAACTATAGTGTCAGACATAAATGAATAAAAGGGAAATATTAGTAAGTAAAGAATACAGTTACTAGCCCCAAAATCTTTCAAAAATGTTGAATTACTAAATTACCAATATTTTTTCTCGCATAGAAATAAACAAAAGAAATGATTTTACGATTTGTAATTTAATTTAATAATTAAACCGCGTATATCAAATAATGTGTAATTCCTAGGGCAGCCAACGTGCAGCGAGTTCCAAAATATTTCTTATCAATATTCGTTAAAGCTATGGTTTTGTTGATTTGTATCCGATTCAAACTGTATTCATGTACGTCAGTAATCAATGTAAAAATATCGCACTGGAGAAAGAACTAGTCAGTGGCGGCTACCAGATCATTGTTGCCTTCGAACTCACAGTTTATATTTCCCAAATAATGGTTCATTCATAGAATTGCTGTACACGATGCATTGATGATATACACATATACACTATGGTAGCTTCTTTTATAATAATTAAATTATAGTAATCTACAAATTAATAAGTTATTACTTCGTAATACTTTCAAGGTCTGAATTATTTTTGAAACAAACTTTAAAGAAAGTCAAAGTTGGATTGGAAATTTTCAATCATGACATTATTTGATTGCATTTAATATTCGCATTATATACACACTAAAATATTCATGAATGTGTAATCGGTTTATCGTTGATTTCTCAGTTAAAATCCACAAATACATTGTACATTGTCCAGATGAAGTCATTACATATTGTAATCATTTTTTACAATTCAATAGTTAATGTAATATCTAAATATACTAATCATATAGAAAAAACTAATAAAAATAACCTTCTCATACATTGTTAAGCAATCACATCTGAAATTAGCGCAACAAATATAAAATAATACAAGGAAAAAGAAATGACAATTACCCAGAATGCAAAGCCCTGTAAAACTCATGTCCTGCTAAAAATCATGTATTAAAAATTCACAAATAATAAAAAGTATAAAAATCGAATTCAATCACGATTACAAAACAATTGCACAAGACAATAGTCCAACACAACGAAACGTCCGGAGGATGACGTGTTCGTACTGTAAATATTAGTCACAGGCCTGGCGAATTGGATAACATGTACTTCACCAGATTTTACACCCAATAAAGAACGCAACCTTAATCTTCACCTCCAAAATACAACTCGAAAACCTCCGGGCGAGGGGGCGTGGCACTCGCCAAACGTTTCAAAATATTTAGAAAAAAATGCTATTAATGCCATTAACAAGCCAACACGGCCTACAACGCACAGTAATTTAAGTCCCTCTCAACAACCCCTCTCGCGGGGAGGAGATACTATTGTAACAATTAAAAAAATACAAACAAACAAAAAACCGCAAAACAACACGCGGATATCACTATCACTCAAGTCACAACGTCCCCCACAATGTGCAGTTGTTCAAGGCTCCCCTTAGCCACCCGCTGAGGGTGGATGTTACTAACAAAACCATTTATAATAATTATACAACAGAAACAACATAAAAAACAACAGAAGAAAATCAAGGTCACTCAAGACACTACGCGCAGTCGTTGAAGTCACCCCCTCCCACCTCAGCCACCCCTGTCGCTGGGGGATGGTACTAAGAACACTATATAAAATATTTGCTGTAATAAAAAAAAAAAACAACAGAAAAACCATGAGAGCATCAGAAGAAAATCAAGCGCACTCAAGACACTAAACGAAGTGGTTGAAGCAACCCCACTCCCCCTGCGTCGATAGAATTGCTACTAACCAAAACATTTAAAATATTTGGCTAGTTAAATATTTAATTAAAACAATAAAAAAACAGAGCGACATAAAAAACAATGGAGACACACTGCGCAGCCGTTGCAGCCACCCCTGCGCGGGGGTGGGGGGTGGGAGGTGTGGCGCCCACTCACCAGCACAAATATTTAATTTAAACAATAAAAAACAGAGCGAGATAAAAAACAAAGGAGACACTGTGCGCAGCCGTTGCAGCCACCCCTGCGCGGGGGTGGGTAGGGGGGCGTGGCGCCCACTCACCAGCACGAGCAGCGAGGGCGGGCCGGGGCAGCGCGGCCTCATGGTGCGGGGGCGGGGCCGGGAGACGGTGCTTGCGCGCGGCGCGTTGGGCGAGTTGCTTGCGAGGGGGGCGGGGCGGGTCCAGCTGCTGCTCTCGCTCCTGCTCTCACCACCGCCGCATGCTCTCACCGGCGCACGCTGGCGCAGCACGGCGCTGCTGGAAGCCTTCGCGGAGCGCTCGTCCGCTCGCCTGCTGACGGGAGACTGGGCCCCGGGCAGCCGCGCGCGCCGCGGCGCCGCCGACGCCGCCGACGCCGACGCCGCCGGCCGGGCCCCGGAGAGAGCATAGCAGAGCACCGCGCTACGTCAGTGGCGCCCGCCGCCGGCACCGCCGCCGCTGAAGACGACGACGGCAACTGGAGAACCGCGAACACCGGTCGGAAGGTCAAGAGCGATGCGTACTACGAGTACCCCAAGCCAGAGGGTACAGAGCGTGAGGGAATACGGGGAAAGTGGTATTGGGTAGGAAATGGTTTAAGAAAGAACGGAAGAGTAAAAAGAATTTGTAAGTTTGAAGATGGAGCTGAAAGATTCGCGAGGAGGAATTGGTAACTACGGTCGAAATTTCAAAAGTGATATATATTGCTTTATTTTCCCGAGGGCATATATGGAGGAACCTGGTTCACTGAAATAACAAGAAATTTTCTGACAATTAGAAAGTTGTCTCGAAACTTAAAAGTTTCAAGAAACACTGGGAGAGAAATACAAGGCTCATACTAAGTGAATAAACTTAAAAATAATACGATAAATGCGAATCGTGGTCTGAAGGTCAAGTGCGACAAGTACACGCAGTCGCAGAGCACACCAACAGGGGGAGTAAGAAGGAACTTGTTAAAACTAATTTTTCCCAAGGATATGAAAACAAAATTGAACTGGAACCTTGCAAGAAAAATGTAAATAAAATCGACAGCATAAAGCAAATAATTATTGGATACGACATAGCCTTAAGATACACACATATCTCATTAAAATTATGTTTTTCAATATAGTAAGTTATCCGTCTTAGAAGGCAAAGAATTGAAGAATCGTAAGCTGCAGTCGGGAAGGTCTAATTGGATATGTTTTGGCCTCTGTTCAAGGGAACAGGCAAAGGAAAGGAGAACAATTTAATATAAATTTCCTGAGAAATAGAAAGTGGTCCTGGAATTCGAATATTTCAACGAGCAAATTTAGAGGTTTATATTCAACGGTTAAGTTGAAAAAAAAATGGAGATTCTAAAGCTGCGATCAGAAGATCAAGAGTGATAATTCAGAAAAACGAGCAGAAAGATAAGCATCAATAGACGTTGAAACATAATTTACGAATAATTTGGTGCTGGTGAAATAGTGGTCTTGGCGTGATACAATGCTTAAAGCGAGGTAGAAAAAAGTATGGGCTGATTTAATGGTGTATATAAAAAGGTTTAAAGAAACGTATGCCGCATTAAAAACATCAAAGGCAACGCCTAGTTTTTTTTTTCTAATTGACACAGTACATTTCTTGATGTTGTATTCATTGAAAAAGTAATTAAATTCCAACACAGAGAAGAAAATCATATTTGTACTGTTGAAAGCATGGTCACTTTCAGGATTGGACGGCAATATGTTTCCCCAGAAGAAGGGGAAAGTACAGATCCATGAAATCCAGGAAGAGTGAAAAACGGAATAAACGAAGAAACGAATGAAGAATGATCTCTAAATTTTGAAGAGGGGGAGAAAACTCTTGGACTTGTTTTGAGAATTAAAGTAAAATATCTGAGAAGGAAGTATGGATTGAAGGATAAAGGTTATAGAGAACCACACACCGTTACAAACTAGCCCAATGTTTAATCGGCAATTATACCTTTTCTTGTATTTTATCCTTACAAATAATATGAGTGAACAAAATACAAATCTGCAAGGGGTATGTTTCAGACAATTTAAAACGTATTTTCTCTTAAAAATGTGTATTTTCATTTGTTTTTAATTAAATGCTTTTCTTTTTATGTTGCAAATCTATTTATACAAAACAAATTTTGATTTAATACCCTGAGTTTGGGAAACGAAATTCGATAAATTCCTCTTTGAAATTATAAAAAAGCACTGTACTACGCGGGTCCTGAATAGTTTAGCGATTACATGGCATCGTGTCCTAGAATCTTCTGCCAACATTTCGGTCATCATCGTGTATCGATTAGCCTTGGAGAAAGCCTTCAGATGATGGCCGGAATGTTGGCACCGGTGGGAGACATTTGGTCATAGGGAGAGCCAACAAAAGCTGAAGCTGAATTGAAGCTGTCTCCGAACACAAACGATTGTAACACTTCTCATAAAAATATTGTTAACGTGTGATCTTTTAAACGCTTAACAATATGTTATTCATATTCATTTTTCTTTACAGCGAGGCTACCAAATGTTCCGAAATTAATGTCAAAGCAAAGTAATTCAATATCCACTTCTGATATAACTCTTTCTTTACTAATTTTACCTCTTGTGAGTACATGAAGTGAATCATGTGAGTGAATACCCGCTAATTCGGCTGAACTTACCACGTAGTAGATGTGCTGAACAAGTTCAATTTTTAATAAATTTTCTTAATTTTAAGCAGTTAATTGTTGCTCAAAACATTTTCATAACTTTTGCACTTTTTTCTTAAATAGAGTAAAGTTTACTTAGTAAAACGAAATATACTCTATTTTCATTAAAACCCATAATATTTCAAAAAGTGAAGTTGTTTTCAAGTCTATTCTAAACTTCCAATACAGAAGCCACATTTTTTCTTATAGACTCCTCAACATTAGATCTTTAAATAATTTTACGTTCACTATTAAAAAATGTTAGTGGCTTTTGAATAATTTTAAGCTACAACTTTTAAGTATTTTAAGTGACTGCGGAAAAATAAGTAGAATAGGAAGTGTCAATAATATGACAATTTACTGGTTTAGCTCCACTAGATTATATTTTCAATATACGAACCCGAATTTTTCAAACGTTTACTGTACCTTTTATCCGAACTAAGAAATAGATGATTTATATATGAAATTGAAATTCAACTGTTTATACTCAACGAATCATACTGTTATTCGTTTATATTCGCATCCTACGGTGAACATTTTGCATTTTTGGTAAGACGTTTATTCCTGCTTCCGAAAGTTACAATGAAAATTTCTCACATTTAGAGAGGTTTTAGTTCCTATGCAAAACATTTTAGAATATTTTTAATTCCATGCTTTAATCCCTCCATTTTTAATCTCTTGTGCCTGTAAAGGTGAGGATACTTGACCTACTTCTTCGAATGAAAAGCCTTTTGGGCACAATAAGAAGTAACAGATGTTTGGCTCGTGATAAAATGACCTCATTAGTTCTAGAATCAAGGACCAAATGGTCAGCCGTACGTGAAGGTTCTTCAATATAAAATAAGATTCAAATTGTATTGCGATTTTCGAATCATCCCTTTCAATAGCGATTACCGCGAAATCACCTTTGAACGAATATCAAAGGCAAATAATGTACATCATTAGTTTCTGTGAACACAATAAATGCAACCGGAACCACCTTAATCGTCTTCAATATCATATTAAGTTTTCATTCAGTGAGAGCTTGAGATAGCGTGGATATATAATTTGTAAACGTGTAATTTAATTGTTGATTTTCATGAAATCTTCATTATCTTTAAATAAATGACCGGACTATACAGAAAGTAGAACGGTCAAGGACCGCCCCTCCCAACACGTGCAACGAAAATAATCTCGACACATTTCCGCGTAATTCGCGAGTGGAAACTCGAGGCATTAAGTGAGTCTTTTACGAACCAATCGTGGCGTCCATTTGCAGCTATCTCACCCGGCGCGATGTCTGCCCTCGCACTAATAAGGCTCGAAGCGCAGACCCGCTCTTTGAAGCGGATTCAGATTTCGGACCGGTTGGGGGGGGGGGGCAGGAAGTCGCATCTCCTCCTCCGCGCCTACTCAATGCGCCGGCGTAGCGCGATGCATATTGATTTCCTTGCGTGTGAACACCGGGGCCCCACGCATGACAGGACATTCCTGTATTTTTTTTTTTGCGAAATTATAGTTTTGGGTTATTTGAATCTCCTTTAAATCTGGTGGTATTATCAGAACTACATCATGATACAACAGTTTTCAAATCAACGGTTCTTCAAATCAAATCTTTGAAAAACTTCTGAGAACAAAATTATTTTATATTCCATCCTGCTGCTTCATGCTCTCCCCGTGCTATCCTGGCCACGTGCCTACCTTACCATGCTGTTACCATCGTGTTCACTGCCAGTTACAAACAGATGCGTCTCCCTGCAACTTCCAGTAATAATTTTGACCAGCAAATACTCAAAACGTAATTGTTCTATTAAACTGAATTTAAAATAAGCATCCAGTACTTAAATTGTATGGCCTTTAAGAAACATGTAGTGTACTCACATGGATTTTATCACTCTTTTGTAAATATTTGTATTAATTTAAAGAGCCTGTGCACTTAAATTTTGTTGTAAGGGGTATAAGGATCGTGTTTGCAAAATCTTATGCAGTCAGTAACTTTTGTCTGGTTGAAAGATCTTATATACAAAATTTTGTTAAGATCGCAATAAAACTGTAGATTTGTATGAACAAACATTATTTAATCGACAAAATGTGCCGAAGTTATCCCCACAAAACACTTTCACTGACAGCCGCATCGAAATCGATTTATTCACTTGAGAGATTTTCTTGGACAGATACGCAAAAATTGTAATAATATAAGAATGGGTTTTTAATCATATAAATGGCAATGAGAGATTAAACAAGGCTTGATTAAACTTGAAATCACAGACATATACTCCAATTTTATTTATATAGATTACCATTCCAGATTGTGAAAGTGATTAATTGAAATAAGTATTTATTAAAAAAATACAATCCAGGCTGAAGGCTGATCTTTATTATATTGACAACAAATAATTCATTTACCGTTTGATCTCAGAAGCACCCTTCTCGTAGACTTTTTGTTGCTGTAATTTACCTGCTTCGTCGCAGCCTGTACACCACATAAACCAGATGCCACGCGATTCGGGAGGTCATTTGCCTCATTTAAGAACAGCGTGTCTGAGTGTACTGTAATTCTCATGCCCGATTAGAAAAATTGGGCACGAGTGTGAGGCCGCATGCCACTTACAGGGCCGCGCGCGATACAACTGTCATTTGCATGCAACCCAATTCTGTCAATTCACAAATATGACTTTTCCTTAATTTCTACAGAATAAATTCGACTTTATTTTTCGGCTGATACTTAGAAATAGCGTCAGCGCTGCTGCGTATTTGAAACGCAACTTTCTGGTCGTGATAGAAAAAGGAAAACCGTCTTGAAGTGTTTGTAGGTTACTTACGAAACATTTGTTCATCGCATTGAGAAGGCGGTTGTGAGCTTTTTCACATGAAACGAATCACCCCTGTCCTTGAGGTTACAGTTGACGCATACTCACGGGTGTTCAAGTTAGGGATGAAGCTCCAGCCTTCTGTCCTCGCAAACATAAAGCTTCATTATGTCTGTCCAACACGTAATTTCCATCGTATTTTATCTCAAAGTATTTTTTGTAAAACACTTTTTCTGTCTCCTTACATCAGTTTAAAAAAAGGATTCTGGCTTAAATTTCTTTGGAAATTAATCTCCGAGCAAACTCAAAGATGTTGGACGTCATTTCGTTTAAGGGTAGTTTGTCAGACAACCTTTAGTTCTATCAGTCGATGGCTCCGGTTCATGTCTCGTATGCCAGCATGACTTTCATTGACTATTCATTTCGAACGCGTCAACTTATAAGGTCATTACGCCTGTAAGCATCGTTCATTTTATCGAGGGATGTGGCGGCTATCTTTTCCCGCTGGATGGTGAAATCTGGCACCTACTTACAGGTCGACTTGCGAGGTATTGCTCTACTAGGTATATCCACCAGCAGAGCACCAATTCCAGCCACGACACGTTTTAAGTTCCCGACTGGTATCCCAATATGTGTGGTAGTGTAATGTACGTAATTGTAAGTGTAAATATGTTTAAGTAAGCCATGCGGATAGGACAAGGAATAGGAAAGAAAGATAGCGCGCAGTTCGTGGCTCGTTTCTTAGGGTATTGCGCTGACATTATTCGGATATTTTCAGTAGATATTATACATTAAGAGAAGTTATTTTTCAAAAGAGCTAGATTCATTATTTTTAATGGTACATACTATATAATGTTGAATTTTTTGAATCCCAATCCTAAGGATGGTTGCTTCAGATTGTTTCAGATTCTACTCTGGCGTCTGCCTGGGATTGACTGAAAAATAACTAGGAAACGACTGATATGAGAAACCGGTCACAAGAAATCTTATCCCGTGATATCGCTCGACCCAGCTATTAAATGAGAATCAAATCACCTGGACCATTGGCATACCATATCTCCTTCCGCATGTACCCACCTAAGACCTCCCCACTCATAATGCTTGCAATTCGGAACCCCATGTCCCCGATAATATTTCCGGCATTCACAACGTAAATGGCATCTTTTCTGTCTTTTTGATCCCTCAACATTTTTTCCACTCTTCTATGCGTTTTTTACAAGATTATACAGAAAAATGTATATTGTTATTTTTTGAACACCTTTTTAAAATCGTATTTAATCAGATATCATCAATATTAAATAAATATTAAAACATAATTTACGTAATCGACCAGTAATTTATATTCCAGCAACAATGGACACTATGTCACTATGGAGTCAAATTTAAATTTAAACAATATTGCTACAACTGTTTTATATAAGTTCAGTTATTATTGGCAATAATATAAGTTGTTATCAATCGACACTGTTGTTGACTATGTTAGGGTTTTACTAGTCTGAACCACAACATATTACAACTGTATTCTCTCAAGAATAACATGGAAAAGATTAAGAAGGATAAGTTGCTAACACTTGAAGAAGAATTCAAAACGCATTTTATTGAAACCATTGGCACCATTCTTCCATATTCCGTCTGCGAAGTAAATATTGCATTCTGTGATAAGCATAAAAAAGAATAAACCAGCACATCCAGTGTAGTAAACTTGGGATGAACGTTGAACTTCGCAAGTCGAAATCTAAACACCTACCAAATACCTTGATACATGACTTCGCTTCAGGAATTGGCTGCGGCCATTGAGTGGGATCAGTTCGAATTTTTTTAAATATCTTGCATCTATATAAACACAACGCGTCTCCAAGCCCCTTGGAAGGGGGTTTAACGCTTTGCGCTTGGACTAATCCTCCATTAATTGCGCAGAGATATATGGTCATAATCATCATGTCTCGTCTTTGTCAATTGTCAAGAGAACCGCCAAGTAGCATCTCCGAGTACGCACCTCCTACTACGCAAGGTGGTAAAGAGGTGAGAGAATGAGATTTGTTAGCACAAATTTCACATGAGATTGTCCGGGATTGGACGGGAATCGAACTCGCGCTCCTTGGATCAAAGCGAGCGACTTCACTCTAAGCCCCCAGATGACAATAGGTCAGTCAGATATTCCAATACACAAGGAAAACAATTCTGCATTAAAATCGTTTCTTGAGAAGTATATACAAACGTCAATACCGGATAAGAACACTCTGAGAAAAAATATAAAAACATGTTTGAAAAAATACAACAGTCTTGACAAATATGAAGTGGGATTCATTTTATATTAATCTACTGTTGAGCTGCAAAGATGTATTTTGAATACCTAGTTTAACCATCGTTATGGTTGTGTTTTTCTCCTGTATATTTACTTATTGTATTTACTAGAGTGTTGGATAAATAACTATAAATCACCTCTTGCAAACTCTTTAGGAATAAACATTTGGCACAAAATGATACGCATGTGCTAGAAGCAGAGTTCATGTACCTGGTATAAAAAGTAATACGGTTATTTCAGCAGCACCTTTTCGTATATTTTTACAGAAACTTTCCTTCGTTTTTCGACCATTATTTACACGATAAATCCTTTTCCTAATTATTACATTATCTAATTCACTGGACATAATTGTACTATGAGTAATCTCAGAAACTGATGGATCATTCAAAATTGGTTTGTAGATTTTTTTCAAACGGATGTACTAGCTCTGTGGAAAAACTTTGATACTGTTGGAAATACATCACTTTGGAATCATAACAAGCAATCCTTGCAAGTAAACCACGAAAATTAGTAAAAGATAAATTGCTCTTTCTAGAATGCATTTTTATGTGCTCTTGAATGTCCAGGTATTGGTTGACCTTTCCAATGATTCTAGCAGTTTAAACAATCTTATAAATTTGCTTAGTTCAGTTCAAACAAAAATTTGTTCAGCTACACTTCGTTTCACTAGCGGTAATGTTTCCATTCGTAATTTTTTTTTAAAAATGAGTTTTTTGTTAGCTCGAATATTATAACTCATTTTGTTTCATGAAATTAATACACTAGGAACAGCTGTTACTTTTAGGAGATGCACAGCTTGCTTAAAGTTGCATTTTAGCACCGTTGTTAAAAGGTGAGACGATGCTCAAATGTTCATATATGATTGTGAATGCAACAAAGAAAACAAAATATATTTGCATCAGCAATTGGTAATCTTAATGTAACGTAGTCCCCAATTTAGTGATATGTATATTTGCATAAAAATAAAAGGAAAGTCAGTATGGCTGTATACAAAATAGGTAATGACACTCGCAGAAGAAATTGCTTGTAGAATTGCGCCTCTCGGTCTATCGGTCCTACTTGCAAAATAGGAAGACACTTTTAGCACTTGATTTGTAAATAACTATTATCTCTGAGCAATATCTTCTTTCTTCAAGTTTTGAATAAAAACCTTGTTTCTTACAGATATTTCTTATAAAATTAATCAATTAATATATTCTTTATTTAAAACAAATTTATCATTTCTTCCGTTGTAACACAAGCTTTGGAATAAATACAGTCTGCAGGAACTGTAGTTATTACCATCAGCTTTGAAAACACTTTATCGAAACATTTTTTGGTGCAAATGTTTAGCATTCCACATTGTTACGAAACACGTTTCCGTACTTTCCATGTAAATAATTAATTAAAATCTATCCTTCCTTACAAAATTCCTAAAATATATTCGAATATGCAGATGGTTTGTAGAAAGAAGTAAACCGTGTTGAAAATTTATTCGCAAACACCCATCACTTATTTATTTCCGCGAAATAATCTTCACTCAGCGCATGACTTCTTTAGTATTCATTTTTTAAAATAATAATTCATGCTTTTCTTTTGGTTTTGCCTTGCATGCATACATGTAAAATGAGCAACGTACTTAAGCACTACATCTGGGATTTTCCATCTATTCACAAATAAAATTACTTCCTCGAAAATAACCTTTTAAGAGTTCGATAACTTCGAAATTACCTCTTTACAATGTACAACCCCAATCTTCATTAGAGTGTAATTAACCTGTATGCCAGGAAGAACATGATTTTCTCATTACGAATAATTCTCTTATAAATACTTTCACTGCTACCCATTTTTAATTAAATTGGGATCGAGAATGCAAAAGGAGCTTTAGATTACTTGCAATTTTACTATCGTTTTATTATTTGGTTAATGACTTTAATGTTTTACGGGGTGATTCAACCTATTTAATTATCAAGAACAACGAACGTTTTGATCGTCAATGGCTATTACTGATTCCCATAGTTTACAATAATAATGATTTGTCTGCTTAATTATGAAACGGAGATAAACCGTGATCAACGCGAAAATGTCTTCTTAGTATTCATTAGGATAATATCAAAGATGAGAGCAATTTTAAATCGTTTGTACTTTTATTGAAAACTTTAAAGAAACCCAAAATTACTTAACTATATAAAAACGACTACATTAAATGAAACATCATATTAAATTGCTCTGCTGTTATTTATGGACTAATAAAAAGCGCATAGTCATTTTATAACAAAGTTTTGTTGGGAACTCTACGATGTTTAGCGAAGAGCAAGCGTGTATAGTCCGTTTCAGTTCTTCGGAATGCCAGGTCGGACTGCACATAAATATGAAATGGCTCCTCCCACTCACCGGTCGCTGCAAAAGCCGTCGAGCGGGTATTTTTCTGATCGCCGCAGTCGCAGCCGTCGGCCTTCAGCAAAGCCAGCAACCGCACAGCTCAATTAGCTCGCATGTCCCTGCGTGATCTGTCGCAACCATCAAACTTCTCAAAAGTGCAAGGGCGGTGGCTGACTCTCGGTGCATGCACTTAATGCGACGTTTTGTTGCCGAATTTCTGCAAAAAAGTGTGATTAGGTATTTTCTAAAAAATAAATTATGCTATCAACGGGAAATCATTTTACTAACAAATTTATTATTCATAGTATGTATGTACGTAGTTGCTCCTTCAAGGTTCATTCAGTACCTGAATTCCTGGAGAAATGCAATAGTCAGTGACACATTCTTTGAAGGACAATTATTAAAAGAGTTGAGATTGCCAAACAAAATTACCTCTTTCTAAGAGGCATTTTTTCTGTCCACATGACACTGACAAGTGAACTCGCAGTTGTGAGATCACCCTTTTTTATAAACATTTTGAGGTTGTACAAAGTTTAGTTCACACTCACCAATTGTATTGCTTACATTTTAAATTAATATTTATCAGAATACCTTACTTCTAAAAACTATTGGGGGGGAGATAACCTTGATGAGATCTCAGAGCAGTCACATTTTGGAAAACTTTGTCAGGAAGGTATAAAAGTGAAATTTATTTTTAAAACGGGTCTTACGACAGGGATTTCTGTCTAATCAAAGACAGCGTATTTTGGTGATATGAGGTAGGTTAAGGTAAAAGTGTGTGGAGAGATATGAAATGTGGTTTCTTTTTGTCTCAAGATGAAATTCATGGTGCAACTGTTGGTTGGAAATATACCACGGAGCATTCAATGATGGGTAGTTTTTTGTATTCGATCTTACGGCATTTATCTAAACTGGACAAGCGTGTAAAAAGAGAAATTTTATCATCGTTTTAAATATAATTTCGGTTGTGTTATTTTGAATTTCACTGACATGTTTATTATTGGGCTTAGTTGGCGGAGTTATGCCTCATTATTATTTTATCATTTACATACTGTTTCCAGTTTTGTTAGTATGCATTAACAATCTTAGGATTTTGATGAGTATGTGCTCTGAGAGTGCTAGTTAATTACTTCTTGATTTAATGTAAATAGAAAGGGAGGGTTATAAGATCTCTGGGTAAATCTTTTAACAAGTTTTGTTTTGATTTATTTTCTTTTTCTTTTAGAGGTCCATTCGTCTGGAAAGTTAAGATATATTTGAAATGGGATTTTAGTCTGTTCTAAAAAATTGTCGGATGTATAGATTGCAATATCATCGGCGCACTGCGCTATATTAATTGAGTTAAGTTTGGTAAATCTCTCATGTACAGTCGTACTGTGGAGTCATCATAACGTGAGGTTCTCAGAGGACTGACACTTGCGACTCGTATGAAAGATACGCTGATTCATTCAGGGCACGCTCAGCGCCACACGCAACGGTTCACGTTAAAAAAAAAATTGAGTTTCAGCATCTTTGAGCATGAGAGACCGAATTCATCTCTTATACCAATCTTAATCATCATACCATATTTGACTTTGTCTTACCCGTCGTTGAAAGTATCAAAAGCTTATGAAAATAATTTTCTCTGTGAAATTTTACGAATGCTTTTCTAGTGCTACATCAGTCAGCAGTAATGTATATTTGGGTTTCGATCCCATGAATATGTGGGGCACTATGGTACACAGTTAACCCATATCGACATACTTCGGAGAAAACAACTAAATTCATTAATTATCAATTCTCTTCCTTTGAAATTGAATGCAACAACTTTCACAGTAGATATGAAATGGAGTTGAAATGTATTAGATGGTTGTAAGAATGAGGTAAGCTTCTGAGAAATGTGTTGTAATGAACATTTACTGAGAGGAGAAATCAGAAATTCACTGTAAAGGGTTTTGTAAATGAAGTTACGAGTGGTCAAAACCTACAAAAAGATGACAGCAAAGATGGAAGTTAGGGCGCAATAAAAGTAGTTGTGTAATATCAATACTTATTAAACAAAATAATAATGATGTCAAAATAAGAGATACAGTCGCATGTGAGAAAGGCCGTTGCCGCCATTTCTCCTGAGCTGCCTAATGCTATGCATATGCTTCATCGTATTTTTAACACTTTTTCCATTTCTACTCTTCTCTTGCAAGTTGCCCAGCCACGTGTCTGTACACTCAACCACACTCTACTACACCCAACCTTTTCCACGAAACAAATCAAGTAATTCCAAAAGCTTACTACATCCTCCTTAACTAGCTGTAAGCCATGTTCAAATATCCCTTAATTTAAAATGTATTTTGTACTCCGAATGTTCTACGTACGTTTAACCCCTTCTGGGTATTCTTAGTTGTTAGTTTAACCTCCCCAGATGCGACAAGCTCTTAGATACTGCCGGTGTCTCCCAGCGTGGTAGTGTAGTGTGAGTTAGTGTAAATGTGTGTTCGGGTCGAGGATAGGACAAAGAAGAGAAAGGTATGATCACGCGCGGTCCGTGGCCCGTTTGTTATTTACTGCACCGGCATTCGGCTGGTGTTGATCAGAGAATCCACGGAAAACTACCGATCAGAGCAACCGGCAGCTAGAATTCTCCTCCAAGCGTGTCGAAAATCTTGCCGCCGTCGGGACTAGAACGTAGAACCTCCCGGTCAGAGGGACTGCAGTGACATCAGTTGATGCCCTCTCGGCATAACTTTGTGGACCAAGGATAAAAAATAAAACAAAAATAAAATAAAATAATTTTTTTTTTTAATTTCTTCGACGCCAGATGAACCATCGACGGAATGATCACCCTTCGTGAAAAAGCCGTCGGCGCGGCAAGGCGTTCCCCCGCCAGCGGCCGCCACCGCTCCCCGCCACAAACTCCAACCGTGTATGCCCAGTAGGAGGCCTGCGAACGTTCCCGGGAGGGACTGGCAGCGCCCGAGGCCGCACCGGGAGTCGCGCCAACTCCGCAAGCTCGGGGGCGGGGAGAGGGCGCGTGAGAGGTGAAGGGCGCGGCGAGGGGCGGACGGCGCGGCGGGGGCTTGAAGCGGTGTGGGCGGGGGGGCATGGAAAGGCGGACGGGGGGGGGGATGCTGGGCGGGCGGGCGGGTGTGGTGTGTGGGTGGTGGGTGGTATGCCTCTGGGTGGGCGTTATGCGTCTAGGCGGTGGCTTTAAGCGGTGAGGGCCGGGTGGGCATTGGAAGGCGAACGGGACTATGTAGTCTGCCCAGGCGGGCGAGCGAGAGCGGGCGAGCGAAAGCAGGGCGGGCGAGCGGGCGGCGGTGGCGAGCCGGGCGGGCGGGCGGGCGGGGAGCGGGCGGGCGGGCGGGCCGGGTGGGTGGGTGGCGGGTGAGCGGGTGGGCGAGCGGTGGTGGGCGGCGGGCGAGCGGGTGGGCGGGCGGGCAGAGCGGGTGGGCGGGTGGCGGGCGGCGGTCAGGGTGAGTGGGTGGGCGGGCAGGCGGCGGGTGGGTGGGTGGGCGGGCGAGTGTTTGGGTAGGTGGTTAGGCGTCTGGGCCGCATCCAAGAAGAAAGGCAACATGGAGAAAGCCCCTTCCGCCCGAGATCGCCTCTGCCCCGCAAGCGACTGCAGAAAAGGCTCAAAAAAACTCAAGAGCGAAGATGGCACAATTTATGTACGAACAAGTACGAACGATACATGAATGAAAAAAATACCCAAGAAGAAACAACCAAAAGAAACAGCATCACATATGTAGAATTAAGAAGAATATATTATTGAAATTAGGAATGCTAAAGTGCGTACATATTAACTGTAAAGTTAGAGGAAGCTGAAAGTTAGAGCAAACTACAAGTTAGAGCAAGCTGCAAGTTAGAGCAAGCTGCAAGTTAGAGCAAGCTGCAAGTTAGAGCAAGCTGCAAGTTAGAGCAAGATGTTTTAGGTAGTTATTAGAACAATTTCCTCTTATCAAACTGCTTAAGCCGTAAGGATAATGTGCCCGACTTACAAAAATAAATTTCCGACACTACAGGGTTATTGTGGAGGAGAAATTGCCAAAAAAATTACCAAGATTATAAAATGAAGGAATGAGGAAAAATATAGGGAAAATGGTCCAAAACAAAACATTAAAAACAACATTAAGACAGAAAAACAAAAAAGGATCAAAATATCCGCGTTTACAACAAACCAATTTTGTAGATAAAATCCCAGGAAATTCATTTCCATCACTGTAACTGAATTATTTCGTAATCGAATTGAGGGTTTATCAAACTTTGCTTTCTTATTGCGTCACAATGCAGTTTTAAATACAGTAAATCGATAAGCTACTTCAGTAACTCAATACAAAATAATGCACAATAACGCAAAGATATATTTTGTAATCACAATGCATTGAAGGGTTATTGTTATAATATGACTATTATAAATAATTGTTACTATTAATACGAATAATATTAGAGGAGCAAGAGGCGTGACTTACTATGAATTGTTCCAAGGGTACTCGTAGGTTATTACTGCGGAAGATCCTAGCGGAAGCTCACAGCGCAGACATGACAGCCGGGAAGGCGTCGGGCAATCCCGAAAGGTAGTTCCGAATGAAAGGAGAAAGAAGCAAACAAAACAACTTTAATTTTTCACAAGTATCACCATCATCTTCAATAATACTCCGGATTTTCTAAGATGTATAAACCTGTACATCATACTACCGATCAGGTGCCAAAGCAGTTGACTTCCCCGTAATCATCAATCAATCAATAAATCAATTGTGCACCACACCCTTCAAAATTTATGGTTATTGCAGAGAAGAGAAACATTTTGAAAGTTTAAAAAACATATTTTTCATTTTTCTAGGACTGAGTAAATTCAACTTTTTATTGGTAACATGTTGCCAATTTTCAATTAAAAAAGATGAAATAACAAAAATAATAAGTTGAAATTATTTCCATAATTCTGTTAAATTGCTAATTTGTATGTTTTTCAAAATGTGATTTCACACATACCCTTAGAAATAATATTATGTATTTCTCGATTTTACATATTAATATATAGGAATATGTACTTTTCCTGGCAACTTAGAGATTCAGCATTATTAACGCAAATTTCTCTCATCAATGATTTGCATAAAATCTGAGATGAAATGTACTTTTGTGAGAAGAATACAGGTCGTACTGATTACTCCATATGATAACGCAGAGAAAGAGCCAAGCCCCATGGTGTTGGCGTTGCAGAAGAATCGCGAAGAAAGCGCTGATGATTTAAGATCTTAAGAAGGAAATCCGCCAAATCTCAAGGCGTGAAAGCATAAACTAGCCACTACCCAGATTTCGACGATTCATAGTGGGCAATTTCAGCAGTTCCATGATACAGAAAATCAACATTTAAATTTGAAAAGCATGGATTGTATTCATAACTTTTTTTTAGAATGTCCAGAACTCTTGGGAACAATAGGTAGTATTTTCTAAATTTTCACAGAGATCAGTAAAATGCCCATCTTTCACAACCAACGAAGTGTTCTAAAAAAGGTCTGTAATATTAAAAGAGTTGTAAGTAGTTTTATAATAGAATATTTAAATAAAGTAAAAATATATACGAAGTACTAATTTATATATTTCTCGTTTGCAGTTTTTAAAACTCTTAAGAGTAATTCTTAAATTTAATTTGCAATAAAATGTCTCTCTAATTTTTTGAATCAGCAATTGATTCATTCATTTTGTTGTAAATTGCAACACATTTACTAATCTCGGCTATTACTTCTAGTATTATGAAGCCACTGAATGAAAAATTTTGTTCTGGAAACATGTGTGGTTAAACATTAATATAATACTTCTACATTGTAATATATTATTTTTGTCTCTATCCTTGCTCTATACTCATACTATACACTCTCTATATCCTTGCAACACGGTATTTAAAACAATTTCCAGTGAAAACATTGAAACAATAACTAAAGATGTGAACCAAGTTCCGAAGCATTTTCCAAATGTAGCTGCATAGCTGCTTCGACTGTCTAGAGAAGAATTATAGCGGCTGGCTGCTCTGATGAGTAACATTAGTGATTTCGCGAATCGATACCAGGCAAATTCTGGAGGAGTATGGCGCAAACGGACTGCTCGCATTTTTTTCCCGTAGATCAACCTAGAAATACAAAGCAATCAATTACACAAACAAAATTTGCCATTAGCCGCTCTACGACGAACACTTTCAAAGCTTCACATCGTGATGCATGAAACATCCGGTCGGCCGCAAACCTTGACGAAAGAGGGCGGTGGGTGTTCGCTTGTGGCGATACGGTGCTGGTATTTCCACGCGCTAATGGCAACGGCCCTCTTTTAACGGTCGCTGACGGCAGCGTCCTGCTCCCCGGGAACTTCCTCAGCTCTCTCCAACAACCACCGTTTAGGACGTCACGTGACATCTCGGGGCGCTCTGAATCACCTGGAGTTCGTGATAAGTATGCGGTTGATGTACCAGAGAGATTGTTCATGTTTACGACTATGTTTTCTTATCGAAGAGATGAAATGTAGAAGAAATCCTAACGGTTAACTTACGTTATTCAAATATGTAATTAACTTGTTGACTATTTGATTACATACATTTCTCTACCCCACACCTGTTTACTATATTTCTATTAGTCTGAGCAATAGATCAATGGTTAAGTGACCAAGCTTCGTTTACCTTGCGATTTACATAAAATTCAAGAAAAAGGGGCGGATCCAAGAGTTTAAATTTTTGCCCAATTTTTACAGATCTGTAAATCGCAGAATCTAAGACTTGCAAATCGCAAAGCAAGGACAAGTTAAATCTACTTAAGAGAGACAGAAATTATATATAATAATCAATGTGGATTAAATGGGCTTCTTTATGCGCATACATTCAATAATTATATGTTTGCGTAAAGAAATTATACTCTTTAATTTCCACGTTTCGCCAACCTATAAACGAGAGCAACGTTCCATATCAGATGTGGTTTTAATTTCCTAAGTAAGATGTTAATTTCCTGTATCATTGAAGTAATGTTTTTCAGCGCAGAATAGATGTAGGCGTCGACGTATGATGCAGAGACGATTCTGACTTCCGATTTAAGTAGAAGTGGAAATTGAAACCTACATGGTACTTCGGGTACCACAAATCTACCCATTATTCTTAATAAAAATGCATTCCAATTTCTCCTTCCACTTAACATATTGTATGAAAACGTAATGCCGAATGTCACATGTTCAAGGAAAAAAGTACAAGAAAAAAGAAATGACAGAGTGACAGCGTGTACGAAGTATCTTCGGAATGATAGTAAAGAACAGAACAAGATGATATAATGTTCGCACGTTCTTTAAAATTGTGAAATCTTTTTTTTTCTTTCAAACCGATAAATTGCTTAGCAAATGAACTGTTCTTCAACGAAACTAAACAGAAACAATCAATTCATATTTTTGAAAATATCAAAAATGTACAAAACAGTTTTGCCAGAGAAGAGTGTCACTGTTACTATCAGACAGCCTTCCCAAAAATGTACAGGAAACAAAAAAAGCAAAAGAATAAAACCATTCTAGAAAATTAAGTTGTAATGATACTGCACATACCCAAGGCCACTCAAACACAGCGGTTACAAATCCCATTCGCGGGAGAATAATTCCAGACCTAAGCAGTCATTGTGGCGACCCCGCGAACAGGTCCGCATCATCTGATCCAGTCGAGCGTGGAAATTTATTCGCGCCCACTCCAGGGCGCTCCACCCAGGCCTGCAAACGCCCAATTTATCGGCTTACGAATCTCTTCATTCCACTTCCTGTTTACAACAACTCAGTCACAGAGTTTTGAGACTACGTGCCAGAACGCAAAACTCCCCGAATAGGAAAGCTCTTCCTTGCAAACGTTCGCTCGTGAAAAAGTAGTTCCGCAAGGCGAAGATTACCTAAGTCTGTATATTGGCGGTTATCCCCATAGGAAAATTAGTGAAAAGGAGACCACAATCTTCTACGAACATATGAAAGGGAACGCGCAAAAAAAGGAAAGAAAGCGACAACACAACGACCACCACTCCCGGCTTCCGTGTCGTCCTGTATATTTTCCGCGCGAGTGATCCTTTCGCCAATAGGCGCCAGCGGCCAATTAATTCGGCGCGGCGCCGACGTGTGCCGAGGGCGGCGGGAGGGCCTTCCGAGGAAGCGGCCTGAGCGACCTTCCTCGGGCGTGCGTTGTTCGAGCGAGCGGCTGCAATCGCTGCGGTTTCGAGAGCCCGCGCTCGGTATGCCGGGAGAGCTTCCGAAACGGCGCGCGCGCCTGGCGCAACGGTGCTGAAAAACCGACATCGACGACGGTGTGACGACACACACTGTAAAGTCAGGTACACATAAAATCCAACCGAGATTTCTTTAGTTGTTCGAAATTCTTTTATTGACATGCGTCACTATTTTGACACTTTTGTCATTGAATAAAGCGTTACGGTCAGTGAGCAGCCTAGGACCTTCCGGTCAGGACACTGCAGTGACAATAGTTGATGACCTGAGCCACCTCTCCAGCTAGGTCGAAGGAAAGTATTCCGTCGGCTGATTGTTTCATTGATTGATGTTTCTGGGCACGTGAACTGCTAAGGCATTGAATATTTTATCCCGAGAAGTGGCTTTGATTGCTTC